GGTGGCGGCTGATAAAACCCGTTTGCTCTACTGATGTCTAACCCCTGGTTAGCTCAATTGGTAGAGCGCTCCACCTGTAATGGAGAGGTCCCGAGTTCGATACCCGGACCAGGCGGATTTTTTCGGTCGCGCACCTAGCTGTGTTTGGAGTTTTGTGTTTGTCCTTTGTCCCTCTTGTTCCCCTTCTCCAGGGATTATTTTCGTCGTAGTTACTGCTGCAGGCGCCAACGCGCACAGCGCGTAGAACTAGACTCGCAGATGCTCCATTGCACTTGGGTAATTTAGCAAAATGTCTAGTGCGCGGTCCTAGCACTTAACGGTATGTTCAAGGCCGACATTACAGAAGCAAAATTAGTAGATAGAATAATGCCGAGATGCATTCTATTGACATACGTTTCGACTGAGAGGTTGATGAGAAATATACGAGCTGCTAGAAAATCAAAGCTGCGCCTATGGATTGGATTGTGTTGCCCATTTTCTTTTTGTATCGTTTGCATAGAAGTTAGAACCAGTGCTCTGCTCAAGAAAAACAAAAAAAAACGTAAACCTTCTTCTGGATTATGATGATGATGGTTGTGATGAGGCAATTTCTTTTTAATCGGGCGGTTCCGAAGCGAGGTCGAACCTTCTCGCTTTCCCTCGGAAGCTCTAAAAAAATATTCTAAATAATATTTCAGCGGAACGACGGCATAAAAGGTAATATTCAATTAAATAACTATATATGATAATAATGCAATATCGCCTATTAATATTCAGAAACTTGAGAACGTTTACCTTTCGTTCTTATTGACCCGACATATTTTTATTAGCAGCTAAGAATCAATCCTGTAAAATATTAGATTTTTGTCCACCAAAGTAATACAACTATTAGTTGTATACTTTGGTGTTATATGCAAGTTATAGCAGAAACAAGACCTGAAAATGCAGTTTTGTATTTTATTCCTGTGGAACATTTGATATCAAACACAGTGTTAAAGTTACTGTTGTCATGTACACCAAAACACTAAGGCCAACACAATCCTTACAAATGCTGATGGTTATATAAGTGATGGCACTAGGCGTTAATAGCACCACTCGTGTTATGAGATCACTTCAGGCCGCATTTTTAAGTTAGACCGGAATGCATCGCAGGATTAAAGCCCTATGTTAAACGGTCGAGTTCATGTATTCCAAGTAGTCTGCGCGACTATTTCGCAAGTTTAGAAAGCTCTTCCACAAGATGAATATTGAAACTCTTTGGAACATATTTAGAAATAATGTGAACTCTTTTTTTAATGTTTTAAATAGCTCACCTCCAGAGTGATCAGTTCTATCCACCGTAGAAATAAGCCATGGATGAATAAAGAACTACGTCCAATGCTCAACAAGAAAGAGGTGCGCATACTCGAAATACCGAGGAAAAAAAAAAAAGAAGGAAAATGGCCCTCGTACACAATTACAAATTTTAAGTAATCAAACGCAAACCATATCGGGTGATTGTAAGAAAAATGTGTGCGTCTCTTAATAATAAATTGAAAGGAAACCGAAACGAACTTTGACAATATATGAAATCCAAAAACAAAGTACCGCTAGGCATTCCCGGGCTTAGTGACTCGGCTTACTCCTTACAGAAAAGAGAAAAAAATACGGTCTCTAACAATTACTTTCGATGTGTATTTTCACCTGTAGCTTATATGCTACTTCTGACCTCCCCTGAAGCGTTTAATGAAAGAATTAACGAAATGAACAGTTTTTATGACGGAATCTTGCATTTAGTGAATGACTCAAAACCGAAGGAAGCAGAGGGGGAAGGGGGGGAGGGGGGGTGTACGATGGCATAGCAAATTTGTCCTCACAATATATAGTGATATTAGTTCATCCCATTTCAGTATTCTGTTTGAAAAGTCGCTCTTGAGTGGAAAGCTTCCTAGGTATTGAAAAACGACAAATTTAGTACCCATCCTTAGAGATGGCCCTTAGAACGTCGTTCAAAACTATGGACAATTTCCCTTCATACCTGCTCAAAACTAATGGTACTTGTTATGTGCAGAAGTACAGTACCTGTCCATTAACGGCTATCTGTTCACAATTCTAACTGTCTATTGTTTGTGCTACTAGTTTTGCAAAATAGTAGATATAGTGAAACTCGGAAATGCGTGCTCGTATACCAGTTGCTGGCCTGTCTGGTACGGTGGCGTCTCTGAACGACACTAATTATTTTCTCTTATACGAGGAAGTTCGTGTGTTAGGCACGCAGGTCGTCTCTAGATCCTGAAAACAAAAAATGATGTTTAAGGTAGTATGCAGTCCAGGAGACGCATTTTAATTAAGAAAAGAAAAAAAAACGTTCATATTGACATTGATTTCGGTATCACTCTTAACTCGAGATAAGTCTCACAGCGTAGTGGTTAAAGTAAAAAAGTGTTCAAGGACAAAATATTGTTGACATGCGTGGCCGACCTAGGAACTTAATTTTTCTATAGTTTAGGCAACGCTCGATGCATCGCATTGATTACATTCTCTGTTTGTTGGTATCTCGATAACGATGTAATAGTTTTTATATGCAAAACATATATCTTTTTGTATAGACTATTATGATTAAATTACCTTTTTTGATTCTTACCATTATTGGCAGTCTACATTATCACATTTTGTAGTACTAATAATAAACTTAAGATATATTAACACGCAGTTTTTCAACCTCTGACATAATTTCTTGCTTATGGTCTAATTTTAAACGCCTCAGCGATTACGCAAATCAAGAGGTAGCAAGTTATCATCACAAATGCCAAGTGTAGCACTTTTCATTAACAAGTTTTCAAGTAAATATGGTATAAAGTCATTGGAAACCCCCTATCTGGTATAACAAATCCAGTTAAAATTACAAAAACTGAGGGTAAACAATATGTGCTGTAGACCTCGCCGCGAATGCTTTCGGACCAAGAGCCCCGATAAAAAAAGGCGAATTCCCTCTGTATTTTTCCTCTTTTATTTTTGTTTTCATACGTCTTTTTTAATTTTTAACGTTGTCATATGTTTTTTTTTTTTAATTTCAGCCTTTTCATTTTGAATGAACGCTTACCTGTTTGTACAAATGTTCACTGCAGCATTTCTGGTTGACGTTGGAAAACCGGTTCAATCCCATAGATGCTGCAGCACCACTACACGTTTCGTTGGCGCCTTGAAATCCGGTTCAGTTACATACGTCCTGCAGCACTACATTGGAACATTCAAAAGTTTTTTTGCATACAGAAATTCCTGTTCGCGAGCTTTGACCGCGAGCTGTTCCGCCGGGCCTCTGAGCGGCAAAAACAAGGGACCCTCGAGGTGGAAACTTCCAGTTTCCGCCACAAGAGGGTGAGCGACGAGCCACTGACGCAAGCGTTCATCGAAACACAGAATTCGAAAGTTTGCTTCTTTTTTTTTCTTTTTTTTTGAGTAAGGTGATTGAGTTCAATAACGACCTTGCATCGTCATTTGACGACGGACTTTAGGTTGACTGCCTAATTTTTGGTTTTCAAAAGGCATTTGGCATGGCATCTCACGCATTCATTGTCAAGAAGCTTTCAACTTTAAATATTTTTGATATAATACTATCTTTGCTGACCGACTATATATATCTTAAGAAAGATAATCGGTTTTAATATACGGCAAGTTATTTTTCTTTAATATTAATTAACAATATCACCGAGGCTTTAAGCTGGCGACTATGTTGTTCGCTTTGATATTTGCAACACGACGTATTGCAGAATATTGCTAGATGATATGTCCCGTAGGTTGCACTTGGTGTGACACTTTGAAATGATACTTAAGGTATCTAAATGTTATCATATGTATTTTACGTCTAAGCGTAAGCCTCTCTTTTTACATCCTGGGCAAAGCTTTAAGTATTTTAGCAGAATTTAAATACATTTGAGTATATCCTAAAAAAACCTAGCGTGAATCGATGTCGTTGAGTATATAACTGAAAAAGAAATATTATGAATTTTATTGAAAGAAACTTTATAGATAATCCTATGTCCGACACACGTACACTATATGTTCCGTACATTAGACCCATTTTAGAGTGTGCTAGTGCCTCCTGGGATCCCCATCAGCCCTATCTCCTAAATGAACTCGAGAAAATGCGAAACAGAGGAACTGCAATTATATTAGATAATTGAAACTTCAGCTCAAGTGTTACCGTACTAAAGAAATAGCTGGATGGTTTCATTATCTCACATGAAATTAAAATTCTACCGCAACACATTTTATAATCAGATCGGAACAGATAATACCAAGTATCTGCTACCTCCTCATTAACATAAAAAGAACAACCCCATGGTAAAAAAAAAGTGCGAGAGTGCGCATGTACAACGAATGTGTCAAATATTCGAACTTTCCGTCTACAACAATATACTGGAACTCGCTCTCTGAGGAAATACTTTCATTGTCTACAACTGTGTTTCTGAATGAGAGGATAAAACAGTTATTCCTTAGCCGATCCGGCCTCTTCATGTTCACGCTTCTAAACAAGCGACCATATATATGTACGTGCGTATGTATCATTGTCTCATGTTTGTACTTCTTTGTTATTGTGTATTGGCATCCCTCCAGCTCAATTATGCCTTCGGAACCTGCAAGGTAACTTGAATAAGCAAATCTATTCATATATACATAAAAAAAACGATGGCCACGTTTTCTTTTAATTTCTTTTGCCTGCGATTTCAGGGGAATCGCTGGCCGATTGTGCTAACCGCGTAAAGCTCGGAGCTTGTGAAGCGAAATATACCCCAGCACAAGCCAGAAATCCTGGGTCCCATTTCCACCCCAGTCCGTTTCGACTCAGATATGAGCATTCTACCGGCGTGCGCTCGTTTATCACAACCGCGTGGTGTAGTTTAAATACTTCCAGGCTAACGATGGAACCGCACTGGTTAATATTTTTCGTCTACAGCGGGGACACCCCACGCTCACTGAAACTAAATAACTTACCCCAGTCTAAACGAACGTATTGCGCAATTACTTTCTCGCAATTTCAGGACATCACTGGTTGCTGGCGTCGTGGAGCGGATGAATGTCGACCTGAAGAACGTTCCCAGGGAGGTCCTTGAGGACTTCGGCAACCATCGAATTTCTGCGTTCTGCGACGTACTCAACCTTGTACTCCGGGGGGCACTCAGCAGTAACCTACAGCAGGTCATCGACGTCATGACGCTGGCCATCGAAGAGTCATCCCCTCGAAATATTTACTCGGCAGGAAGCACACTGCAAAGGTTCCTTTTGTTTTTGCCTTCAGAATGGTTAGACTTTCTTCTCGCGTCTCCGTTTAAGTTCATGATGTGGTGGACGCCTGATCGGAAGCCCTCGCTTTCGACTTAATGCCGGAATAGAATATATTGGCTTGTGCGGAATTCGTGAATTCCATATTAACAAGACAGCCGACGAAAAGAGCTCGTTTGTATATAAGCCCTTGAAAGTCGTTATTGAAAAAGGTCATTTTGGTTTTGTATCACATCTTAACTAAATGATGAGTACACGCGCCTCTCATTTATGATTTTTCTTCGTACTCAGATATTACGTATAAAATGTGTTCGGAAGAGGTTGACAAAAAGAAATAGACGAGATGAAGGTAATGAAGGGAAATATGCTACTATTGCCACATCGCAGGCATAATAAAAGCACTAAAAAATAAGAAAAGGATGCGATTCGTTTTCTTAATTATTGTCCTTTCTTCTGCCACTTTTCGTGTTTCTGCAGGGTATTGTAAGCGATTGTACGTTACCCAACTTAAAACGCCAGTTGTAAGTTGGGTAATCTACAATCAAACAGCATCAGGGCGGATAATCAATGCGCGCTGATGCTGTTTGCAGCATTTTGCAATATTTCTCGGTAGGCGTTTTTTCTCTTTTTTTTTCTACCTTGAATATGTGACACTCTACACTGTTAGCAAAAATAACACGCCCAGACGTGTAAACCGTTGTCCTATAGCGGACACGTCGAAACGTGTTCGTTTTACACGAGGACATCTGTGTTTTTCGTCTACACATGAGGTGCTGTGTAAACTTAACACGCTACTCCGTGTCTGCCTTCCGCAAAACCGTTTCGAGCGTGTTCCTTATGAAACATGGCGGCCAGCGGCCGAGAACAGGCGAGAGACGAGCCCAGCGAGCCGCGCGCCTTTCAGCCGAATTGAAAGCACACAGGGCGCGTTTGTTCTCGTTCGATGTCTTTTATACACAGTAAAGTCTCCAAGCGGCGGACGCAGCTACTTGCAAAGGTACGTACGTGCGTTGTCGGCGGTCGGCGGCGTCGGTAGCTTCAACAATCCGCTTGACAAAAAAAAAAAAAAACGAATGCCGAACTTACATGGATAAATAACTTGAGCACACTATTTAGAATCGGGCGGTAACTTGCGCCACCTATCGAGATTTCTAGCAGCCTGCTTTAAAAAAAAAGAAGCCGAGTCTGTTAACACTGCGAACAACCACGACTACAGAGCAGCCCTTCATACAACGCAGGCAACACAGCACACAGCTACACAGCACCGACATGTACACAAACACAACAACCGACACTACGCCCGACACTTCCTACTCGATATCCATTTCTCCCCGCGGCGCATATAAGCTTGACATGTGCGGATGAACTCTTTGGTCGCTGACCATTACAGATTTATAGAAGAATACACAAAACACGGCGCAAAAGACAGCCGTGTGTTAGAACTGTTTGCATTTACAAAGTATGGAGGCAAAACCTATAATGTTAGTCCGTTGCAATAAATAACGATATGTTAACAATAAATCTTAAACCGGTCATGGAAAAGTTCAAAGTTTTGTTATTTTCTTGCTTTACCAGTGTTATGAGCAGTCCGACTAGCTTGAATCAGAGAGGAAAACAAATTATTGGGATTTTGTCATTACACATACAATAATAAATGAAAATGATCCTTGCGCAAAGCATTTTTTATATATTTTTGTGAAGGACATCCGGACATCCGCCCAACACTTCACTTCCGCTAGTTGCAGCAGTTTCAGTACGGGAGCAGACGCCTTCACTTTTGGGGCGTTTTGATGCAGTTTGTTGTCGTATGTCGTGTCGGTGTCGAGAAGAGCGGTGGGGCTTGGGAGTTTGTGACCGGTGTTATTCGTGAACACTGGTGTGGGGCGCTGATGCGTCTTTTTTTTATACTGCCATCACCCCGAACTTTGAAGATACACGGGCCCGTAGCAGTGCATTATGCTGAATCGCGAGCTCCTTCTCTGTTGACGTCGCTTTCCTGGTACCACTCGTGGATATGCAAGCGTTTAAACAGTGTGCACCGTCTCGCCTACATCCCCGATGACGTACTCGACCTGTTGAAACTTATTGCTTCCGTCATTTTAGAGTACGCAAGGCAGTTATCTCGTTGGTCTGGTTTCGGTTATAAAAGCAAGGCAAAACGCTCGTAGTTCCCGCCCTCAGTACACGTTCGACTTCTTCCACACTTTGACACCGGATAACTGAATGAGCGAGGATTTACATTCACTTCCGAGGTTACTCTCGCCGCTTCCTCACCGTTGAGCAGCAGGATGAGCTGGCGACAAGCCGCGGATGAAAGGCTTGAGCATCAACAGCCCAAGCGCACTCGGTGCCGATGCGGGCGACGCGGGTTTCTGTCAACCGGGAGGCCAGCACAAACCGTGACCGTTCCAGCTCTTCGTCATGACACGGTGTTTCAGAGAGCAGGGTAAAATACAGCTACACGGATCACCGAAGCAAACGACTGCTATCTTAAATCTTGGCTTGTGATTGCGCCTTTGTAGTAGATCATCTTATTCGTTTAGCTGGAGAGACGCAAACGACGGGCATAACAAAACCGCTTGCATATTCCGCATATCTCACAAAAGCATTTACCCTGTCACCTTGCGAAAAGCGCGAAACACGGAGTCCGCACCGTCCTAAGCTTCCCGTTTTTTACCTGCTTTAGAGCAGTTTGTACCTGCTAGTAGATATGCCTACTGAAACTGAAACAGGGCAGTGCCAGAGAGAAAGAGACAAAGTTGGGAAAGCTTGCTCGCTCTCCAATTTCTCAACTCTCAAGTGATTGTACCGTAATAAATGCACCAACGCGTCTTCCAAAATAAAGAAAGAGCACTACGTTCACAACATAAAAAATGGTCTCAGTAAAAGCTTGGTCTGCTGGGAAAGTTGGTAGTGGACATTCATATTAAAAATAGCGCAAAAGAGACGGGACAAAAAGACGAAGAAGCACACAGGACAAACGCTAACTGGCAACTAAACTTTATTGAAAGCTTCCAACTTTGCTATCGCCATGCACGTGCTTAGTCTCGTTCAACAGAGACAGGGCGTACCGCCAAATCCGCACAATCATACCGCCCACCGCCCGTTCCAAAAAGTCAGCAAAACAGCTACATCACCCCGCCGCACAATCCGAACGAGAAAAGAATAGAAAAAACGCCGCGTTAATATTGTCAAGTTAGATAGTGTTAATGAAATGGTACTCTTTCTGCTGCATATACACCGATGCGACGCTTATGCAAACGTCTTTGTCACAATCACGTATTTTCACTGCCTCCAGCAACTCTCGTTCCCTCCTTCCTTTGTTTCGTCCCTCCACCTTCGCACCGTCCAGCTTGGGGGAACAACCACAAGTTCTACAATGCCCCGGTAAGTGGGAACCGTAATTGTTGCCAAGAGAAGCCGCATGCTCTCGAAGTCGATCATTTAAGCAACGTCCCGTCTGCCCTATGTAAACACGGCCACACGTTAGAGGAATCCTGTAAACCACCTCTGTGGCACAAGGTACAAACTTTGTCACGTGTTTCTTGCTACAAACAGGCGTTTGTAGCAAGACGCTTATGCAAACAGACGTTTGCATAAGCGTCGCATCGGTGTATATGCAGCAGAAAGAGTACCATTTGATTAACACTATCTAACTTGACAATATTAACGCGGCGTTTTTTCTATTCTTTTCTCGTTCGGATTGTGCGGCGGGGTGATGCAGCTGTTTTGCTGACTTTTTGGAACGGGCGGTGGGCGGTATGATTGTGCGGATTTGGCGGTACGCCCTGTCTCTGTTGAACGAGACTAAGCACGTGCATGGCGATAGCAAAGTTGAAAGCTTTCAATAAAGTTTAGTTGCCAGTTAGCGTTTGTCCTGTGTGCTTCTTCGTCTTTTTGTCCCGTCTCTTTTGCGCTATTTTTAATATGAATGTCCACTACCAACTTGCCCAGCAGACCAAGCTTTTACAATACATTTCTTCTTCATTGGGCTCTTTTCTGTGTAAGCTTCCACTATGTGAGCAGTGCGCGCAGTGCACGAGTCTCATCGCCATCTCGACGTGCAAGGCCAGGTACCTTGCCTACTGTCTTCGGAAAGGACAGTGCCCACCGTACATTGCTTTCTTGTTTGGTGCATTGGGTTCGTCTATAGGGCATTGGAAGAGAATTTGCAAGATCCTCAAGTCGGAGTGTTGGCGGCAAGTTCGATTCCTTCACGACTGGCTGAGAGTCAGTTGCTTCAAATGGTGCGGGGACGGCCAAGCTGGAGCGACCCGATTGGCTGAATACCGTAGGTTGGCGGTAGCGACGACGGAGTTTCTTTGGTCCAGAACTCGGTGGAACCTGCCAAAACCGGGTAAGAAGACGACAGTTTCTGTTGCTCCGGTGGTCTTTCTGGGTGGTGCTTCGGTCCCACCTGCCGTGGAGCGAGTGCTGGAAAGAGGACCAAAGTTTAGTCTTGAAACTTCTGCAGACAAACTCGAACTCTTGGCAGCTGTCCACAGGATTGCGGACAAGGCTCCCACGGAGGAAAAGGAGCGGTGTGTTTCGGAAGGAGTGGAGTCGTTGCAGAGGAGCTACGTAGGTGGCAAAGACAATCGGTCGGTTCTCCGGACGATTGTCCGGCACTTCCACGACTCGGACCTTTCGCTCCTGTTGTCTGATAAAGAAGGAAGCTTCACAGTACTCCCAAACAAATTATTTGGTGAGAAAGCTATGCTGGCCATCAACAAGAACTTCAAACTAGCAGACACACGACCGGCTAGGGCAAAAACTAGGGCGGTCAAGATTCTGGAGGAGTTGAACCTCGAGGCTTTGGCGAAGCGTGGAAGAAATTCCAAACTGGATGTCCTGAAGATGTTCTTTGCGGCGAAGACCCACAAAGTTGAGTGCCCTTTCAGAGCCATCGTCACAGAGAGAGACAGTTGGCAGGCCCAGGTGAGCAGGTTTCTGCAGCTGCACCTGAGTAACCTCATCCCAGAAGACCCTTACAAGGTGAGCAGTTCGGACCACCTCATCGACGTACTACGGGAGGGCCTACCTGGAGTCAACAACGCTTTCTCCTTGGACGTTGAGGAATTGTTTTATTCGGTTCCACA